ATCTATTTTATGCATGCGTACAGACCCATATAGCCGTAGATCCGTGTGAACACATTCATGGTCAATCTACGGTAGATGTCAACAGACTCTCGGCAAACTGATCACATCAGTACATACAGATTACAGACCCTATGTAGCTGTACCACATACATAATATTGGACGATTTGCCATTCTCGGTAGACTCCTTTCATAATCATTGTTACTTCCTGATACTCCTACGTCAGCTAATGATCACTCACTCATAGTACATAGACTTAAGGGCGGCATAATGAAAGGAAAGAGTCCACCCCCTCCCGATGATTTTCCAAGTATGCCCTCAAAACTTGAGACAAATCTTTTTGTCCGTTTTTTTGTTTTAGACCTGTACCCCTCCCCCTTCCCCTCCCCCGCACCCTCTTTCATTAAAAAACAGTCTGGTGTTGTGCTGCATTACCCTATCCCTTCTTTACAAAATATATTTCACATTTACCCAAATTACTTCACTTACCCAATTCATTTCATGCGTATGCACAGAATTCCAATGAGTATTTTTTTTATTGCAAGAAACTCCAGACAAACTCACCTTTGTGCATGCGAACAGACCCGAACCCTACTTTCACAAAAAATGGTAAGTCACTATTGGCAAACCAATCTCAGTACAGGGCGTGATTTGAATACTAATATACTGGTACATAACATCGGGTAGCCTATATTAAGTGCAGCACCTTTACACTGTGGCATGCGGCAGGGCGGGTAACAAGAGTCGTGACACTGTAGTCTGGTGAATTTTGGGACGGGGATATGATAAGATATGATCTAATCTTTCTTTTCTTCATTAAATTTTGCCGCCGTTAGCAATAAGAATTTACCCCCCAAGATATTTTTTTTTTTTTAAATAAGACTTGAATTGACAATTCTTTTCAATGTTCGTCCTCAGATTGATTGTTGCCGTAGAGCCATACAAATATTTACAGACTAGTGCCTTATCATGAAACTCGAAAAAAAAACTAGAATTCTATAAAATGAAAGAAACAAGAATACAGAACTTTATTGGGGGTAAAAAAACAAAAACAATTCAAGGCTTCTAAATGTTTTACCATTTGCATCGATTTTGTATACATTATTTAATTTTCTAACTCCAGATATTCTGTCAAATGTTTCTTTACTCCGACATTCGAGTACTCATGGAGCATTCCATGTGTTTGTACGGTAAGCTTGGTATCTATACCTTCCTCGTTCTCAAGCATCCTCCTCCCTTTCTCCTAAGAGCACCAATGTTTTCTTTCCCTTCTCTCTCTTTCTCTCTCTCTCTTTCTCTTTCTCTCTCTCCTTCTCTGTCTGTCGATCCCACTCCCTCTCTCTCTCCTTCTCTGTCTATCGATCCCTCCCCCTCTCTTTCTCTCTCTCTCTCTCTCCCTCTCTCTCTCTCTCTCTATTTCAATGTCATTTGGGAGACTATGAAAATTGAGACAGCAATGAATTCATTTCGCCTTGCTCAGTAGAGAAAGGTTGGAATAAAATTGAATAGCCGCCAAACCCTCGTCATATTTACGTAACAGCAATATTCCTAATTCCCCTACCCTATTAATCTACCGAGCCCTCCAGTCATGTAGTTTATTACGTGCGTGCCGCTGCTAGGCGACCGTTTCATAGATTTTGTTTAGGCTCGATTGCAAGCATTTCCGATAGATTAGGGGGCTGAAAATCAATATCGTTGCCTGGTCGAAGAGAAGCCAGTTAACCTTATGATTTGTTTGCCAATAGTATGTAGGATATCTCGTTTGATTATGGGTAAGAACTGGGTGAGAAGAGAAAAATAATTTTGCTAAGTGCTCTGATTTATTTGCCTTACACTGCTATCTGTTTCCCCCAAATTATCACTTACCTTTTTTTGTATTATCTTTCTTCTCGGATTCGTCTTGCAATCTGAGTGATATGTTGCTCCCTCTCCCTCCCCTCTCTCTCTCTCTCTCTCTTTCTAGCTCTCTCTCTCCTTTCCTCTCTCCTTACTTTGATATCTATCACAAATTACAAAAATAGGGCCGCTTTTGTAAAGAATATAGTTGAAGCTTTCTCTGAAGTCAGCAAAGTAATTTTCCGACTGTTCTTTAATATTTTTGTTTTAAGGAAAAAGATAAAATTGAACTGGGGACTGAATCTCACTATAGAACATTCTCATTAATAAGGCATCAATGATGATAGATTAGCTCTCTCGTATCGTATCCCTCTGTAATTTCATTTTTGCGTGCAGCGGCAAAAGTTGATGAAAACTCGTTATTGAAACATGATTGAATTGGAAATCAAATTATTCTCACTAACAAATTTAGTCGTCCCGACATGTCGACCATTACCGTGATTACAACTTCATCACATGTCTTTCATTAAAACGAATATTCAGACATTGACTGTTAGAGGGGGAGAAGAATAACAAACGAGACTATATACTAAATTGAAGTCGGGAATTACAGTACTCTTATATCCTAACAATGGTGGATTTAGGAGAGAGATGTACATCCGGCCCGTGCCCCCCCCCCCCCCCCCATTGAGGTGATGACATATTTCACTTATAGACAACTAAAAACCAAGAACATTAGTTTCATTTGGATAAAATACCTTGTGAGCGGATCAAGAATGACAATACAGCATTATTGAAGAATGATAATTGAATTCCGTTTCTATAGTTCATGACAGAAAGATATGTCTATTCACATAAAGCAACCACTACTCATGTTTTTCGTTTACAGTTATCACCACGCAATTCGGATGTAAATGAATAATGTATTAATATTATGCCTGCTGCATTAGTAATGAACCTTTCTATAATGTAATAAAGACTCTCTCTCTCTCTCTCTCTCTCTCTCTCTCTCTCTCCTCTCTCTCTCCCCCCCCCCCCCTCTCTCTCTCTCTCTCTCTCTCTCTTTACATCACTCTATAGATTTCACCAGCTCATGACCAGAATATATTTCTATCTCAGAGAGGGTCATATTTCGCCTCCGAATGAATCATGAATAATGCTAGCTTGCATGTTTTAACGTGCCATAAACCTGCACGATTGCATTATGTATACATTTTGCCTATAATATACTGTTCGCTATTACTTCTACTTTATCGTGTATAGAAATTAATTAATAAAAGTCATTTCCTTCACAATATTATGCTACACTCTTGACAACAGCAACATAGAATATACACCTTTACTGCATGATTGCCTGCTCTGGCATGTCTACATCAAAAGAGTGAGTCAAATAGGTAAAATGAAATAGTATAGAAGACTGAACAAAATGATACACAATAATACTATATATATTTTATACATCCGATGTTTCCGTAGAAATAAAAATCTCCTCACTGGCTGACCGAGAGTAGAAAGACGTTTTGCTATGCAATGCACGGAAAAAGCGCGGGAAGATCAGATGGATAAAAACCACTCAGTCAGTGTGCCGTGTGGTCTGATCACCTTAATGAACGGTATTTTCTCACCATCATGGTAGGTCATGGCTGTGTGCCGGCATGAATGAACTGTGTGAATGAACAGTCAAGACTCGAGACAGTGGAATCCAAAGAAAGGAGTGCATGTACGGTGAAGGTATATTTTAGGCAGTTAAAGGTAATATCTTATTACTTTTAATAATAATAAATTTTACTCTACATTATGTGAACAATAGGCTATAGCTTCATCATAATCCTCACCATCATAAGAAAGTTTTTAAGCATCATCAATTATATATAAATTCAACCATGTAAAGATTTATTAGGTCTTGTTAAAAAAAAATAGAATTTCTTTTTTTCTACTAAAGAAAAATAACATTCAAGAGAACACGTGACACACCCCAACGCTATAATGTTATGTATCCTCCTCCCCGTTGTATTTCTTGGAAATTAATATTTATTTCCATGTTGTACATGAATATGTCCGAGCTATGTGTCTTTCCTTTTACTGAATTTTCATGGACGTCACATCACTGCTCATGAATAACTTAAAGAAACACAAATTATAATGCAAAGCTACAGTCTTGCTGCAAGAAGGTGCAAGTTATGACCTACATTATCTATGAAGCGACGCACAAAGTGACTAATGCTACGGTCACAAAGGTTCGTACGAACGATAATTTCGTACGAATCTCCCTGTCAAGTTTTTCCATTGTCTTCCCGAATTTCCATTGTCTGAAATCGTTCGTACGGCGTTCGTAGCAGTTCGTAATGGCATTTTTGACCGAGGCTTTACTAAAAGCCTGATTCTACCAGCGCTATTCCCCATTGACTTTAGTAAATGATTTGTTATTTAATTATACACCTTTGAAAAATAAAGGTAAAGGCTACCATGGACAAAGCAAATTACTATGAATGACTCCGTCCTTGCAAGTTCTTAATTAAAAATATAATTGGAATAGAAATAAAATCTAAAATCTTCTATTATTTCTGGCATTGCCTAAACAAAATAGAGAGAAGCAATATTTCTCAATCTGCGCTATAATATTTTCAATTTGAGATACATTTTGTTCCTATAAAGCATTTCATTTACACACACGTCGAACAAAATTAATTTAAGAGAGAGAACAAAAAGCAACGCCATTCTTTTGTCTCTAAATGAATGTAGCCTATTTTCTTAATACAACAGCAGCATTAAATGATGATAATACAAGCTGTTACAGGTGGTTTGACATGAAAAACCTAATCAATCGATCAATCCTGAAAATACCTAATAGTGGTAAATGTTATTTTACTATGGCATTCATTCAAATCATTTTAATTCTTAGAATGGCCTGCTCCAAGAGAAGAAAAACCTTAAAAGTGTAGGTCTATATCAATTTTATCGACGAGTAGATCGCGAAACAGCTGTTATGGTTTAACGCCTTCCACTATGCAATTTTTTTTCCAGTACAGTACATTCTGATTGTGAAATAAAAGAAAACGGTCCTTACAATAACACTGAATGACAATTGAACAAAACGATTCGAAATGGCAAGCCTTCACTTATATCTCTAAACGCTAATAGCACAATATGATAACCATCACTTACCTGTAAATTTAGGTCTGTCAGTATGCCATAGCAAGTTTGCTCAACGATATTCCAGAATATAACATTCACCACATCTTCGTGACTCCGCATCCGCAGAGCAGCATCTCACAACCAGGCGATAGATCGACTACTCAAGTGAAGAAAAAAAAAAGCTGACCGTTTTTTCCCCCGCAGCGCTCGACTTATTTTTTCCCTCTTTCCTCCTCCCTAGTATTTGTTATTCTGTGGGAAGCGCCAAACCGCTACCGTGAGAAAAGCATGTAACAAACATGCCACACACCAGGCGCGGATCCAGGATTTCTTAGGGGAGGGGGCCCAACTTTTTTTTTTTTTTTGCTCCCGAAAATTTGAAATTCGCGCCGGCCGAAAAGTCGCTCAGTGGGGGGGGGGGGGGGGGGGGGGGGGGGTACAGAGCACAATTTTTTTTTTTTTTTTTTTTTTTTTTTTTTTTTTTGCTCCCGAAAATTTGAAATTCGCGCCGGCCGAAAAGTCGCTCAGTGGGGGGGGGGGGGGGGGGTACAGAGCACAATTTTTTTTTTTTTTTTTTTTTTTTTTTTTTTTTTGCTCCCGAAAATTTGAAAAACGCGCCGACCAAAAATTCGCTCAGTGGGGGGGGGGGGGGGGGGGGGGGTAGTGAGCACATTTTTTTTTTTTGATCCTCAAAAAAATTTCAATTTGCACCCCCCCCCTTGAGCGCCAGGGGGGGGGGCCCAACCCCCAAAAATCGTAAAAATCACGTGATTTTACATGATTTTTTTCTCAAGGGGGGGGGGCCCGGGCCCCCCGGGCCCCCCCCCCTGGATCCGCCACTGCCACACACACACACTGGATGTGGTGGAGTGACAAATGTAGGAAAATTAAAAATGCAAATGGTTTCGAATGGCGCACCCCTTTTTCCTTCTCTTTTTCTTTCTCTCATCATTCATACTTTCTCCCTCTTTCTCTTTGTCTCTCTCGTTATCCACCTTCACACACTCTCCCCTCTCCCTCCTTCTTTCTCCGTCTCTCTGTCTCTTCATCTCTCTCTTTACCTCTCTCTTTGTCTACATTTCCCCCTCTCTATCTCTAACTGTGTCATATTCTTTCTCCTATAGATGCTCATTCAATTCTTTCCCTTTTCTCAAGGCTATCTCTTGACTGTTATTATTACTAAATAAATGTTATATTTATTTGTTATCTTGTATTCTTTCTGAATATTCCTCTCCTTCCCCCCCCCCTTTTTTTTAAAATTAGCTCATTCGCTTCTTTTATTTCATACATTTGTAATTAGATTTTAACACTACTTTTTGTTAAGGTGATGATGGTATATACGAAATTCAGCAAAATTACTGAAGATAAACCTTCTCGCGTTGCCAGAATATAACATGCTGGTTGCCCCAAAGTGTGTAATTGTAATGGGAGAAGGGTGGGGGCTGCAGGTATATAATAATAAGCAAGATAAGTTAATCTCATGTTGATGGGCATTTGGTTCTCTTGCAACCGTCCCAAAAATGAAAATTTGCTTTTATTTCGTTTTCTATTAAGATTTATGCTGTGCACTTATTCATGATATCAGTACAATATAGAAGTATTCACGTTGGATCACATCATCTTTTAACGGTATGCAATGTCCGCCGTATTGTAATCATAGCCGTGAAGAACACCTTTTTCTGGTCGAGGACTTTGCTGACACGCAGTCTCTAGCTATGTTGGTAAATAATTGATAGCTTTTCATGCCAATGATTATTTCCCAGAGGAGAGAGGGTTTCTTCTTCACCTTTCATCGTGTCTGATCATCTCCTCCGGTGTGCTTGGGAGTATAATGGGGCCCGACTAGGATTTATCAGGTCTTATACCTGTGATGAATAATTTGAGGTATAGTTTGGATAAATAATAGGAGCGATATGCTTTCCCGGACCATTAATTTGTCAAAGCACAGACTAAGCCTATCTATTTTGATTAGCTCAAGATATTTTTCTTATTCGGTTCTTGCACACTCTCCACCCCACCTTCTCTTCTCTTATCTCTCTCCATCTTTCTTTCTCTCTCTCTCTCTCTCTTATACACACGTACACGCACATACTCTCTCTCTCTCTCTCTCTCTCTCTCTCTCTCTCTCTCTCACACTCTCTCTTACACACACGCACACTCATACTCTCTCTCTTTCTTCCTTTCTCTCTCACTGTCTTACTCGTATAAGTTACTAAACTATTCTGTCCGCTAAACTATTTTTTCATACTTATCATATTTGAATAAATTTCGATAATAGGGTTCATTCATTGAGTCCGATCGGTATATTTTCATTGGCGTAGCCAACCTGATGCATACGCCCCCTCCCAGTTTGGAAGTCAACCAAATTAACGCTGCAACGCTTGGCGAACCACATACACATGTACTTTTCACTCTTCCCCTTATTTTGCAATTTTCTGGATATGCCAAGGATGAGCCCCCCCCCCCCCCACCAAACAATGGATTCACCTTTCATTCCCACTATTTCCGGCTCCTTCTTTTCCAACTGATGGACAGAACAGTTTGTATCTAAAAGTAAAATACGTTTTCCTGAATTTATTTAATCTTTTCGTGATTTTATTTAATCTATCAGGCAAATGCATTCAGGACCTCCAAACATTTTCCTTGCTTTTTTCATCTAATGTCAAGTTTATCACGTTCAATCGATTTTCTCGCGTCGCAAATCAACTCGACCTAGCGAGTACTTAAATCAAATTCATAAGTCAAATGAAAGAGAAAACAGTTACCTTACCGATGAATAACCAATATAAAATAAGGCAGTTTGTGTAGGTGCGAATGATCGAAATTAGTGGGGTTTTTTCTCTGAAGTTTCATCCTGTTGTTCGTATTACTACACAAAAAGATTACTTCGATGGGCCCTTGACATTATCTCAATTCAGTATTTTTTAATCAACCCATTGTATACTCTTTCCCAGTGAAACGATTTGAATCCCTCTCCCAATTCGGACAAAAAGATTGGGGGAAAGGGTTAGAAAGAACGAGAACATAACTGATCCGATGCGGGCAAGCAGAGCGAAAGATGAGATCTTCCACCCAACCAAACATGATGCACGGTTCACCTCCTTCGCTTCTCCGCCCGCCGAGTCAATTTTGTACGAGTCGTACATCAAATCGATCCCTTGATTTTCATGAATGATCACAGTAGGCTTTCAAAAACAGTTCATAAAAATGCTCATTTAATGGCTTTGGATGACGATAATTGGGTAAGTTTTTTTTCCGCATTTTCATTGCACCAAGATACAACATACAAATAAGTACATGCGCAAATATGACATATTATTTATCACCAAATATAGTTATAGGCGAATTTGGAAAGAACAGCAATATTTAATCAAATCTTTTATATCAGTTATTTATACATGTATAAATGTGTTCTGTTAATATGTTTCAACACTTCACTGGAGTGTGATAATGCTATAGATTGTGTGCATTTTTTTGATATTCTCTGACGGCTCTCATCTAATTTTCTGATTAACGTATTTCAAATATTAACTAAGTGTTCTTATACATGTACTTCAGTTTTATCTCCCTTTCATCTTACTGCTTTCATCTAGTTTGCTAAGTAACCCGTTTCAAGATAATTATTATGTTTATACATGTTCTTACTTATTCTTTGTTGCTGTTATGATTTTATCATGTTTATAACTTGTTATTATTCTTATTTTTTTTAAACTATGGTTTCTTATTATCATTGAAGAATATTAGTGATGAGTCACCCTGTCTAAATATCAGAAACAAATGAATATTAGAGTTGCTCATACCAGCCTAAGCGACGGTTTTCTTCTTATCATACACCCTTCCCCTTCAACATTTTCAATAAACCAATCAACTTATCTGGCAGTGAGTTCACAAGGTTTCTATGGCAACAGTGAGTGGTAAGTTTAAAGGTCGATTTCTATATATACATCGAGTTGTTCATGGTCGAGACTCGATAGCCTGTTCCTCTCTTCTCTCTTCCACTAATCCATTTCCATTCATCTTGTCACTACCTTCTCCTCTCATTCATAGACCATTAACAAGACCGACTTCAAAACAAATTGTTTGACATAATTATAATGCATTTGGTTTCTTTACAATTTATTGGAAACTTTTGCAAACGTTGCACACAGGCCATTAATGATACACATAAACATATTAACAAGCAATGGCTAACCTCCCGAAGAGTAAGCAGAAAATAAAACAAACAAAAACAAATACTGACTGACAATAATTGCAATAGGCCTGTCAATGCAAGAAACAAACAAATGACCCCTTCCCCTCTTTTATATTTTGTTTTTAATTATAAATTATCCATGTTTGAAGTTAGATACAGTGCACAACTAATAACTATAGACCTATTCAATGCCCAAAGCTCCACATTTAAAATACATGTACATACTGTGTAGATCAGCTGTTTCCATCTCCCTCATACTCTGTGAGATGAGAGGTCGAGATAACCTGGTCAAAAACTACCAGTAGAGGGCGCATGATGGCTTCCTTTACCTGAATGAATACATTTCTTGCAATCAGACATGTAAACTCCTGAATGAATCTAACAAACATTATTTCACAAATTCATAAAACATCAGAATTAATGAGTTGGTGAAAAATTAATAGACTGGTCAATACAGACTTAAATTCGAAATTCATTCAGTTATTAGTTAGACATTAAAATTGATATGAGAGATAATTCTTATCAACATGAAACAAGTCTAAGAAATGGTTCTTAAAATAAAATCTGCCAGGCAAGTCTTCACTTTCTTGCCAGGCTGCAAGATTCTCAAAACCGACGCTTATGCTGAAAGATCGATGACACAACGTGACCTCTCTTCTTGGCTGACATTACTACAGTCATGTACTACAACAGTCAAAAAGATTTATTAACATGGATTGTCTTTTAAGAAGTCTTGAGTCATGTAAAGCTATTTGATGACTAGAGAACAGAAATGCAAACAACATTTGCATAAATATGAATAGAGAGAAAGATGTTATATCTGTATTTACCCCACAATAACATGTACACAAATTTCATATACAAAATATTTAAAAAGCTTTGATGCAACAATTTAGTGTTTTTCTTTCTGTAATGAAAAAAAAGGTGAACAAACTTAGTTAATTCATAATTCAATTTAAAATTTGAAAAAAAAATTGGGCCTTTACGAAAATGATATAACAGGAGTTTAAATAACTAAATATGTGAATTGTACTTTGTACAATCACATATTTCAACAAAATGGTATACGATTCCTCAACTGCAAAATTGTATTATGTGCATTATCTAATAAGACATAATAAAATGGAAATGAAATGAAATATGAGGATACTAAGCAAAATTAAATTTTGAACATAACAATGAACTATATCACTACAGTAGTTTGCTGAACACATTTTTCTCAAGTTCTCATAAGTCTTATGACAAAGTACGCTTATTTTGAATTCCACTTTAACTAGGGTGTACCCTAAAACAGTTGACCCAGGACTGCTTTCTCTTTACCATGTGCATCCCTCAGATAACGGCTAGAAACTACAAAGATACAGTTTGCAGAGAGCCTGAAGGCAAAAACGTATGTGCTTTAACATCAACTCAATGCTCTCGTGGCTCTCTTTAAATAATAACTTGAATAATAAATTCTGTACCTGGGTCAATTCACACACAAAATACAAACACATCAATGAAAAGTGATGCGATAGAGCACCTATCATCTGTTCACAGCAAGAAGGGTGTTAAAAGTGTACGTTCAGAGACAGAAGGACAATACATGTAACTCTGAGTGAAAGTATACAAGTTAAAGACACATAGTAGTGGTCTCTCATGGTGAATTAAACACCATTCGGGTGTATACCAAATAGCGGGTGTTGTCAATCACCAAGACTAGCCTTCAGTTTTATGACCAACAGGCCTTATGTAATGCTCTGCATTTTCCACCCATCCTCTAAAATCTTTAAGTTATTATCTTACATTTTCCTCACCCAAAGACGCTCTCAGAGACTAGGGGTATTTCTTGATGGGACCACGGGTTTGCTGTGTGCGAAACTTGTACACCTGTTAATGGTATTTCCATCAAGTCCAGTGTCTGCAAATAATGACCTTCTGCACATGGAAACCGACATCCATCTCCCTTTAACACCCTTCCGGCTACAAACAGATGATATGGCGTAACTCGTAAGAAATCTAATGCAAGTTCAACATCTATTGTGCCGCTTATTTTACTCAATAACCACCAACATGGAATAAATAATTATCATTTTGCTCCAATATTCTTTTTTCTACTGACTCCTCAAATTCCATTCCAACAAATATGGTTTCTTTCCGAGTAGGACATTGCTTAGTTATGTGTATTGTTGGAAAAAACACATACATATACAGGTGGATTGCTTACAAGTGTGCTATGGTTAGTTACAATGATGAGAACATACATCATTTTAAAAGATTTAATGAATCTACTACCAGATTAGCTACTTTTTCATCATAAGCAGGGTTTTCACATGCTTTTGTTCTTATCATTTGAAAAAGTACAGAATCTTCCAACTTTCTTCAGTTCATTCCTCAAAGGACAACCTTGCTTGAGGAAACTTCCTTTCATCATAGAAATTGCGTCTCCAGCTGGGGGTGCTTTGTTTGAAGGTTCACATTGTTTAGTTGGCTTTCTTTTCAGTCTTCTGATCTTGTAGTTTGGCGTAATAATCCTTGTACTGCATGTCTGTACCAAAGATCTTGTCCCACCAGGTGAATGTAGAGGAGTAGTTACCGTTGAAATTCTTGTGATGGAAGTCATGGAACCTCGCACCTGGGAGGTGGTTGAATAGAAAACAAATATTTGAGATATAATATTGTGACTACAATATAAGATAACTATTCATACAAATATCAAAACAATTGGCATATGTGAGTAACATATCTAAAAAGAAACTAAAATTAGTCTAAGAATGAAAATAAGCATGTATGAGGAATGTTTATAAATGGATGAATGTCAATAATTCTAGACGGTTTATCTGATCTAAATACCTAAATATTTTGCAGTGTCTTCCTTCTTGAACACTCAATTAACAAGGTTACTGATCTCTTCATTACAGTTTGAGTTATAACATACACAAAAACATTTGCAGGGGCTGATTCACTGTTGCTTAGCCTCATAAATGATTTCACTAAATACTGCTGGTCCTTCAGACAGACTCACTGAATTTGTCTTTCCTTTTTGTTCTTTTATTTTTACAGGCGGGATAAGGATAAGAGCATAAACAAAGTGAGACATATTTTTTTTTCATGTCCCTTCCCCCTTTTCCTTATTCTTCGCAGAGGGTGAAAAGGGGTGGGTGAGGACATGCTCTTTCATCCTGACGGATTCAGCCATGCTGGTTGTATCCTTGAAGCATGCTCTTCAAATAATAGACATGTTGTGGTCTAGTAGATAAGTCACCAGACCATGAACCTCAAGGTACAAGGCTTGAAATCCTAGCTGCTGCACTAAACTCCTTTGGCAAGACATTAATCTACATTTACAATTCATCATGCTGAAATCAATGGGTACCTGGCTACCTGCCACAACATATTTCCTTAAAATGCTTGGACGCCTTAACAGCCCTACTAAAGCTTGGGGCAATAAGCCTGAAGTGCCAGGACAGACATGAGTGTTATACAGGAGCCCACTATTCTCCTTCTTATTACATATAATTATTACTACGAGTATTAATTTATGGATGGTTGTGATTATATTTTCTATTCTTACCTCCATAGAATGGGATGACGTGAAGTGGATTGATGGGGAAGTCGTATCCGGAGTGGACATCGATGGTTTCGATCAGACGGACACACATCCAGCACCATAAGAAAATCAAGTGATCGCAGAAGAGGAGCATACCCCACATGAAACCCATTCCCAGAACTGTACAGAAAAACAGTGATTTGATTGCATTATTTTCCTCATTCAAACATGTTTGATGAATTTTATGCTTGTTTAATACCAATCACATGTTGCCTCTTACATATTTTTTTTACATTTTTCTTCAATTTTTGCACACAATTTTCATTAATATTTATACTCAAACTGATACTCCATTAAAAGAATTGGGTGAATATCTAAGAAAAGAAATTCGCTATTGATATCCTCTAAATCTTTGGAGGTCATTGACACAAAAAGAGATCAGGCCATATGGCAACAGTAAAATCATCTTACCTTTGCTCATTATTTCTCAAGCCCTAAGTATCAGATAAAAAAGCAACTACACGCACATTGACATTTCAAAGTTCAATTCATAGGTTCTTGACCGGACTGAGCACTAGCAAAATGAACATCTACAAAGCCTGATCCACATTATTTACCTATTTCTAGCATTCACTTCTTAAGCCTACAGATAACGATAATGATAATTATCAGACAAAGTAAGAGCTATGATTATTACAAACATGCATTTTGGGAAAACTGAATATAACTTTAGCTTTGAAACTAGATTTGATAATAAGATGGTTTACTCTGCAACAATGAAAACAATTTACCATAACAAATTTATTGGTAATTGCTTATAAATCGCCATCATCAATGTTGCTGATATATTGTCAAATCTATCTTTATACACTAAATGTATTTATATCATTTGGTCCATTAAGATGTATGCTTCATAATGGAGACTTCAATGCTTCATTTCAAATGCACTTTCTATATATTTTCTATGTATTTCCTATTTGTTTCCAATTTATTTCCTATGGATTCCTATTTCACAAGTGCATGTGTATCTAGAAGTAAAAGTAGTCATTGGCAATTACTCAAATTGAATAGCAATAGAAAGATCTTTCACAACATTAAACTTACTCATAGTCTCCATTGGATGAGCGTATTCAGCCGTCATGCCGAAAGGGGCCTGTATGAAACAGAGAAATCACAAGAGTTATACCAGAGTCAAAATAAAATAGTTGAGAAATAGGGAAAAACAGTACAGAAATCATTGGGTATTTTAACTATTTTACTATCTTTTGTTCTAAATCCTTTGCCTAAACATATTTTTTCCTATTTTCCAAAATGGGAAATATCATAAAATTATAGAGAAAATAGCCCCCAAATATATTATCGCACATTAAAACGACCAGGATAATATCATAATAACTAAGGTCTGTAAAAGCTCATAAAACCTCTGCAGAATTAAATGTTGCAAACCCAAGAGTATGCAAAATCTTGTTAACAACTACTTTGTGGAACAGTTCAACAGCTTAAATCTGCATGCATGGGTCTTTCCATGATGTTTAAACCATTTTCTCTGAAAACGTGAGGAATAGGATGCACCGTTTTCTAACTACAAACTCTCCTCACCTGGAAGTTGTGATGGATCTTGTGGATGTACTTGTAGATGCTTTTATGGTGAAGAGCTCTATGAAGGAAGTAATGCCAAGCATCCTCAAGCACTAAACTACCAAAGCAGTGGGCAAGCGTCATATACCTAAACAAGAAGATGCATGTGGGAAAAAGAGATCACATACATGTACAAGTACTGTCATAGTTCTTCTTTAATATGGCCTAGATAACTTCGAAAAAGAAACATTTTTTAGATGTTCAATGAGAAGTCGTTAAAGACGATGCTCAGACTACTTCAAAACAAATGATGTTTAGAAGACATAAACCATTGGAGCAATGCCTTGTAGTTGTACAGCATTTTGTCAACTGTTCAGTTGGAGTAATATTTGTGCGCATCTGCCCACCTTCGCTGCTCAGGGCCAGAGTATGTACCTACTGGTATGCACAAAACCGGGAACTCCAGGCAGTGTGCATGTGTACAACTGTATTACCAGGAGTTAACAGTGAACATCCTTCAATTACTGGTATGCACGAAACTGGGAACTCCAGGCAGTGTGCATATGTACAGCTGTATTACCAGGAGTTAACAGTGAACATCATTCAATTAAATGCAATGCTTCCTCAGCAACGGACTTACCAAACAGGCATGGACTCATAGTCAAATGGAATATTCATATATTGGCAGAAGAAGTAGGCCCCTGAGAAGAATGGTGTCTGGATGAGCACTTGGTTGGCAATAACAAGCTTGAAGCATTTCCATTCCTGGTCCCATGTGGTCGGTTTATCCTGAAAAGAAGATGAAGCACGTAAAACTTTAAGTTAAAACATTTTACTTGTTTCTTTTTTTTCATTAATGAGCAATAGTAGTTGGTACAAGGTACACATGCCCCTACTGTACATGATCACAAATCTAGCAAGGATAAGAATTTTTCTTTTTTGCATTTTCGATTACTTGCTGCAAAAACTAGATGTAGGTGCTTCATGAAAAGCTTTTGCCTCCCTCTTGAAAAGAATACCTTTGAATGTGTATCGCCTAAGGCACCATTGGAGCATGAACATAACTTCCATAAGCACATTTCCACTATCTTCCCAGTGTGCTTTTCATTTTTAGTACAAATAAGTTTATTTTATCTTGTAATTCATAATTCTATTTGTTATTATTTTACTGAATGCATGACATCTTTTTATAAGGAAATAAAACAACCAAACAAACAAACAAACAAGCAAAATATAACTTCTTCCATTTTATTAATCTAGGCTGTGCAGAAGCTTGTAACTTCATAAAACATGTTTCCTTTTCAGGTTTATCACCAACAATGATGTCAGTAATATGTGCTTTATAAGTATAATAAGCAACATGTTTTTCAAGGGGGTACTGGGGGTACATACCTGCTGTATCTTGTACCGGTCCATGAAGCGGAAAAACTGGAAGATGAACGATGGTGAGCAGAAGAGAAAGTAGGTAACCTGCACAGAATGAGAGGGAGAAAGAAGAAATTGTGATAATACAGATAGATGAATATGGTAAGCATCGACATGATAAAAGATTTGGCATATTGTAATGGTAACGACTAACGACTAACGATGCATAAATGCTTAGATACAAAACATGGAATAATCGGAAGATGATTTTATCTGTTTGTTCGGTTTCATAATATTTCTAAGAAAATACCAAACTAGGGTGTTAGAACCGAGCCTTGAATGGGGAATGTGTGATTAAACACATGAATAAGCCAAGCAGCTCAAGCCTATAGCATTTTTCTTTAAAAACAAAGACAGTTTACACGCGACCATGCATGTTACATGACACAGATCACGGCATATTGGTAGTAGACTGATTTGACTTACCAATGATAATACACAATTTTTGATAGCATGTATTTCAGGCCTGTAAGCCAAACTTCTCTTCTCTAGATAATTTCTCCTCAGAGGCTCAGTTGGGTTAACATTTCTATTTATCCGTTTTCAAAGAAAGAAAAAAACATAACCAAGCATGGCTTCGGCTTAGACCAAAAAAAAAACCGGGCTATTTTGTTCATTAAAACACTATCAAACAATGTTTTTCTCATAAAATAGGCCTTTTCATAGGAAAGGTTGCTTTAAAAAAAAAAAAAATTCTTTAACTTTTTTTTGGGCTGACAAATACAAAAAATTTGTAATCACTGTAGGTATGGGCTCTTCTAATTTGATGGTTGATGAGACAGTAATGTCTCTGTGATGTAGTGGGGACAACTTTCCCCTTTGTTCCAACACACAAAATTACTAAAATTTCAATTTTTCAAAAGGTGTACATGTATGACTTGGGAGGGTCTACTCTCTTTAGATGACCTTTGAGTATGAACCATGAAAATATGCTATCCATGATAAATTTTGATTGCCTCAAGGAAGAATGCATTTAATGGAGAAAAAAAGAAACCAACATTTTTCAACACAACAAACAAGATCGGAACAGTTATCTGTTACTTGCCAGATCTACTACATCACAATCCACTGACCAAACTGCCAACTTGACTTTTGAGATTCACATAAACATTAATGTTTCAACCATTCATAGCTTTCTTATTGGTCTGATTTATCATTCAAACTTTTTCCATTCTGTTTATCTTATTTTTCTGCTTTCATACATTAAATGAACTCAAAATGGATACAGAAGTACACTAGATCCTAGACCGAAAGCTTCAGTCTCTATAATCGTCGGTTGTTCCACTGAGACTACGTCTGGCTCCACTAGACCTCCGGTTATAGAGACTGAACGACTGCCTATGCCAGCCTGTGTTGAACTTATTCCGCTAGATTTTAGCCGCTAGGCCCCTCCCACAAACTTGCCACGGCCGTATTGTTATGCCCCCAAATTCCCCCAAAATGTCATTTTACCTCGTTCATTTCCAATTTTAAATTAGGCCTAGGCTATAATACATCGGTTCCACTTACTAACTTCATTGATATAATCCGTTTAATGGTCCCTTTTAAGGAAATTATCGGTCAAAATCGACATCCATGTTGAAAATCTTGCAAGCCGTGTTTAACTCTCGCTGCCGTCAATCTCATCCCTTCTAGTCTACGCCGAAGGCAAAATGATTATGAAGGAAAAACTGTGCGCCATCTACACGTTCGTAATGGCGTTATCACAGTTTTTTCCTTCATAATCATTTTGCCTTCGGCGTAGACTAGAAAGGATGAGATTGACGGCAGCGAGAGTTTAACACGGCTTGCAAGATTTTCAACATGGATGTCGATTTTGACCGATAATTTCCTTAAAAGGGACCATTAAACGGATTATATCAATGAAGTTAGTAAGTGGAACCGATGTATTATAGCCTAGGCCTAATTTAAAATTGGAAATGAACGAGGTAAAATGACATTTTGGGGGATTTTGGGGGCATAACAATACGGCCGTGGCAAGTTTGTGGGAGGGGCCTAGCGGCTAAAATCTAGCGGAATAAGTTCAACATAGGCTGGCATAGGCGATCGTTCTGTCTCTATAACCGGAGGTCTAGTGGAGCCAGACGTAGTCTCAGTGGAACAACCGACGATTATAGAGACTGAAGCTTTCGGTCTAACTAGATCCTAGCACCCTGGGATTGCCCTTTGAATATAGATCTAGAAGCAAGCTTTAATTCCATAACATTAACACAATAACAGCAGGAGAGGGAGAGATCGAGAGGGCCGAGAGAGAAGAAAAAAAATCTTTAGAGAGAGAGATCAGATTCAGAGAGAGAAAGTGAGAGATAACAACTAAAAAGAGAAAGAAAGATTTGAGAACAGACACGACACCTTCACTCAACAACATGCACAATTCCTAATGCAGTGATGACGTTTTCATTGCTTCGTTTTACTTTGATTATATGTGATGTAAATGTAACACCAACACTGTCCTGTCCTGTAGGCCTAACACTAACACGAACACATTATAGCCTAGTAACATAACAGTGCAGTTCACGTTAAAAATATGAGAAAAATGAACTTACTATGTGAAGGCATGCTGACATGTACGTTGAGATCTGAAACCTGGAATAGTTTGAATTCATGTACCTCCATCCTTCCTCAAAAGCCCCCATTCCACCGTCAGTTGCATTCTCCACGATTGGCAAATCATTTAGCACGGATTCAGCCGCCATTTTCAGCTCAGAAGGATCGCGAAATGAGAATATTATGTCCCGAACTACTGCTAACAATATCCTAAGTTACATCACTGTACCCTAGATCGCTGTGGTATGATTACTGTTTCGGTCAAAGGTAACTAACGCACAGCTGATACCGGCTTTTAGGACTCTACCATTATTCATGGGTATAATTTGAATGAGAAATGTTTTGTGTAATTGACTAGCGATAAAATATGACCAGTATAATCATGTTTATATTTTATAAAAAGCAATGATTAAGGTAAAAAATAATATTTTAAATTAGTTGTCACAATTTTAGAATCAATTTGATGAAATTTGATGAACATGATGATACGCCATAGAGAGTAGGTACACTTTTGAATAATGTATCGACCGCATGAGAAATACACGTGAGTGGTCTGAAAGACATCGTCCGATCCTATTATAACGTGTGTTACGTGACATTTCAAGTAGCTAGCTCCGAGCTAGCTGAGCTGATTATGAGCTACTTTTATTTAATTTCGAGAATCATTATTCATACGTCTATGGTATTTCGGATTTGAAATGTTATGGAAAGGGCGGAACCACTCTAAAATGTTGGTTGTCATAATATAATCATATAATGATGGCTCATCAAATATTTGACAATATAATATTCCCATGATAGCTAGTTGTGGGGCTGGTTGCTCTCAAAATAGACGTGATAATATTGAAGACCAAACAAAAATAGAGGTGCGACGACTGCGACCAATGAGAGAAACAGTACCTTGTTATTATTCTAGTAGCAATAAAATATTTTGTTTTTTTAAAAATCTTATTACCAAGGAGATTTTGCTGGTTGATTCAGTCTTTCATCGTGCATACTGCAAGTCCACTTAAAAAATAACTTACTTTTAAAAGAAACAGAAAAATCAGACAAACCAATCAAAAAAGATTTGAGCAAAATCGGATAACATTATTATAAGAAAGTTATGAATTTTTAATCGTTGGAAAAATTTGGAAATCATAAGACAAATTGGCAACTCGCTCATGAGTCTGTGACGTCATGTCCTCCACAATTTTTTTAATTTGTATTGATAATATAGATTTCCCGCTCCCTCAGGGATAAAAATTTGATTCTGAGAATCTTATTTTTCATCCAAGTTAGATTGATAGTGATATGTTTTGTGTGAATGCACTAATATAGAGTAATTTCTTCCAGTTAAATCATGAAAAATGTGAATTTTGATTAACAATTATATAACAATCAATAATTAAACAATATTTAGAAAATAATATCAATTCTTCAAAGTTCATAAAAGATTTTGTGAAATGTCATGCACGCAATATAATACAAATCATATACCTGGGCAAAGGCATTGGGAAATCAAGTTTTGGGGGATAAAAACTAAAAAGGGATTTTAATGGGATTAAACTATATAATGCAATCATTAAATAGTGAGGACATGGCGTCACAAACAGCCTACCATATTGCCAATTTGTGGTGTGATTCTAATTGTTCCATAGTTTTACATACTTTATCAAAAATTCATAACTTTCTTATTAGTAATCCGATTTTGCTCAAACTGTTTTTGATTGGTTTGTCTTATTTTTCTGCTTCTATTGAAAGTAAGTTATTTTTGGAATGGACTTGTCCTTAGAAACCAGAGGTGGCCTTCGGGGGGGGGGGTTCAAGTATCCCCAAAGTGCCCCTTACTTTTAAAACGTACCCCTTTTCCTTTGACAAGTTCCCATGTTCCTTAGCAACTCTTAGCAAATCTGCACGAGAGATACTCGTTTTACTCTGATAAGTGCCCCTTCCCCTCCTGATAAGCGCTCCGATTTTTTTTCATCTGTGATGAGTGTCCTTTTTACCTCTAATAACTGCCCACTTTTATTTTGACACATGTCCCTTTTCCTTTCTAGACTAATAAATGCTCTTTTTTCTTCTTAGTGCCTCTTCCCCTTCTCATAATTACCCCTTTTTATCTATGACAAGTGCCCCGTTTATTTTCACATGCGCCTCTGTTTCTTTTTAATGAGAGTTACTCACCCCTTCTAAAAAAAAGCCGCCTGTCACCTCCGATAAATGCCCCTATTACAATCTGATCGGGCCCCTTTTCTTTCAACCAATGCATATTGTGTCCATTTTTATCTCTGATAATTTCCATTTTAACAATGATACGTGTCCCTTTTCCTTTCTATTAAGGGATATTCCCTTTTCATAAATGCCTTTTTCTCCTCGCATAAATGACCCTATCAAAATCTGATGGGTGCCCCTTTTCCGTCGATAAAATTATGCCAATTTCCCATTCTCATAAGTGTCCTTTTCCACCGATGATAATTACCCTTTGACACATGCTCCTTTTCTTTTCAAATAAGTGCCTTATCCCTTTCGATAAGTGTCCCCTTTTCCTCTCATCGTAAAGCTCCCTCGCTACGCTCGCCCGCATTTAAAGAAGATATAATTGTGTTAAAGGTCTTTTTAATTTCCCGTTATTAGAATGTGCTTTTAACCCCATTAGTATTGTGTTTGTCCTCTTTTATAAATTGTCATTTTTCGGACTGCGACCTCACAAATTTCCCTATATATCGCTTCGCTCGGTTCCAAATGAATTTCAGACGACCACACACAACTCCATAGTATGAGGCTTAAGCAGTATTGTATGGTGTATAAGTATAAAGATAAACAAAATATTGAAAACATCCCTAATAATGTAATCATGATTTAGAGGTATAATCATACCTAAGTATGTCTAAAATTGAATATTTTTACTTTGAGATTTTCTTTTGTAGGTGCCCTTTTTTTCCTCAAGAATGTGCCCTTTTTTGTTGGTGCCCGCCCCCACTTTGAAAGTCGCTCCGCCGCCCCTGCTTAAAACCCTACCAGGCTCGCTTATTTCATCTAATGAGAACTAATCGGACCGCAATGTGACCTCAATCTTTTTGAAGTTTTGCTCGCTCGCTCGCTTTACTCCCTCTCAAAAATGTAATATTCAGACTATCACACACAAGCAGTATCTTGGACCACGTAAAGAAAAACTTTTTGAGATCAGCCCTCATAATGTATTAAATAAAATATAAGGTATATTATGTAAGAATGTCTTTTTTTTTTAATCGCTTTGCGGTTGCGCTTGGTATAGGTGGCCCCCTTTTCACCAGAAATGTGCTTTCTTCACCGGATAGCCTTCAGATTCGCCACAGTGTTCTTGAATTTCACCAGTTTTTTTGTTAAACATTTACTTTTCCAAATAAACCATTTGTGCACAAAGAACAATTCAACGTGATTCTAGTCAGTTTCTTTCAAAATACAATTCAACCTGCATGTATAACAAAACTCATGATTGCACTTCGGACTTGACACATTTTGTCTCACCATAATTCATTTATTATGTAAATATACATTGTATTGCGCAATTTTCCGGAAATTCAACCCACGACTGAGGCATGTTAACATCATGGACCCATGATTAGACACACCACATCATATTCTGCAATTTGTGTGTAAAGCATAGGTTATGGCATTGGATTTCTTGAATTCCGATGAAAATAACTCTTCCACAATGGCATTCTGCCTGCATAGAAATATGCAGTGGTAAACGTATATGATTATTTCTCTAATTAGTATTATTCCTTAAAGGTACAAATTAACTTGTAACGTGTCGTGATTGCAGAGACTTCAAAAATTCAACCTGAGCACTTTCAAAAGCTTTTTCCATCATCTGTTGATAGGCCTATGTGTAATTATGAAATATTTATGAAATATAAACGTAATTCAAACATGATTTGTTCGGGATGTCCAATAGAGTTCTGGAATCACCCTTTAGTTTATATTTTTCGATATTTTTTCTGCTTGCGTGTATAAGGCATTTATAGATGACAGTGACATTAAAATCTTATATGACTATAAAGAAACCGCTGCATGTTACTTCATAATTATGATCCTTTAAAAGGGTGTGTGAGCTTCCTGAACATAATTTGTTATTTAAACTCACTGTGCCCTTAATTGTAACGCAATAAGAACAGTCTGTACATCCCTAAAATACTAAAGTATAGGCGTTAATTACCGGGGAATCCCCGCCGCCTTGTTTGTTATGCAGTCTCTATACGATTGGCGTGTTCTGTTCATTGCTGATGACTGTGACCTGGATAATTATTGTTATTTTATCCACCAGTTCACCGGGGAATCCCCACTCACTGTGCACGGCCTCGTTTGTTATGCAGCAGTCTCGAGACGTATCGTATCACACTCCATGCGATTGGAACGTTCTGATCATTGCTGTTGTGACCTGTCAAATACAAGAGCTGGATATTGTTTCGTCTACAAAAAATATTTTTACAACACACTAATTAAGGTATGGTATTCTATATTTATGGTATTGAATTAATATTTTGACATTCAGAGATGATTTTACGTTGTTTTCGATGTAAAAGTCATGTTTGTGTTTCATTTTAAGATGTTCCCTTTTCAGTTCTTTTGTTGGCGTTGTAATTAATTTAGATTATGTAGTGTAAATTGTATAGAACATTATTTTCAAAATGGTGTACGGTTGGAATGATTTTCTCAAAACTTAGTGATCGAGCCACAATACGATCAATTTATTCATCGGCGACGAATTAATATATTTATATATTTTAAAGCGAATCATGTTATTTCAATGTCTGTCTACTCAACTATATACTTACAGTTTTCATGGTTATCCGTGTTTTGAACTTTATGAAGAACAGAGCCGTTATATAATTGGCTCTGAATATAGCGTAATCTATCCATATTTTAATAATGATTTGTATATTAAATTGTGCTGTTCATAATGTATGCAAACCTATAGCTAAACCTTTTACACGGAAAATAAAACAAACAAACCATCAATATTTTGCCCTGTACACAGAAAAATAAAAACAAACATGCAAAATACAACTGAATGAACATGGTTCTCTCCTTGCTGAAATGTAGCTAATCATGGACTATTCCGAAATCATTCGTGATGAGATGGAGGATGAGGGCATTATGCCGTCAGAGATACCAGAGAGAAGTGCCAGGCAAGGTGTGAGGGGGTTCGCTGATATGAAATGCTGTAACCCGTCATGCCGCAGGACGTGGAGCACCCATAAAGGTCATGTCGTCATCGATTTGAAGAGGCAGAATGTCAACAGGGTAAGTGTCAGTGATACGACATCATTATGCGACGATTAATGCTCCGAGATATAATTGTATAAAGAAACAATGTGAATAGGGTCATGGTTAGGGGTTTAGTATAGTGTTTGGTCCAGTGCTTAAATCAATGTCATATAGAAATTGATTTAGTGTATGAAATTGACCGGGGAGCATTATTTTCTCGTAGGAGCAATAATATATTATTGTCGTACGATTCGACTGTTATGTGCATGATTATACACGGGATGCAGTTCCTTCCCCAAATCAATTACCCCCCCCCCCCGCCCTTTTTATAGAAAACAAAATAAAAACAAAACAATAACCAAACACCGAGCTCATGTTGTCATTGATTTTAAGAGGCAGAAAGTCTTGAGTGAAGAGGGAGCATGGAGAGAGGGGATTGAGAGATTAACAAAAGAGAGAGAGAGAGAAAGAGAGAGAGAGAGAGAGAGAGAGAGAAAGAGAGAGGGAGGGGGAGACAAAGAATGATAAAAATATAAAAGATCAAGTTCCTTCTCCCGGAAGAAGATTCCCTCCTCTTTCTATTTTTGTCTTTGATACCGTCACGCCCTCTTTGTTATTTATGACTGGCTATATAAGATGGTTTATGGACATTGTTTTCCACATCTACAATGTATCTCCCCATCTATCTCTTTTTTTTAATTATTTTCTTTCTTCTCTCTGAATCAGATCTGGAAACAGAAATGCAAGAAATGTGACCGTGAAAACGAGCCAACCTTTCGTGATCTCGTATTCAGAGAGCTGGTCATCAAAGCAATCGAACAGTGAGTACATAATTACTTAAACTGATTAATATCCTTGATTTTTTAATGGTGATGATACAGTACATTACAACAATGAGTATAATTCTCTCTTCATTCACAGGGAGAGGAAATATCGCAATCCGGACTTCGCCGGCAGGAACATCGATGACGACGGAAACGATGGTGGTCGAAGGGGACCTCCACACGAGAGTAGTCTATGTGAAAAATGTGAATACGGCAGGACCAAGTGCTGGATCAGGAAGTGAAAGCATCAATCTTTTTTCTAAATGGCATACATACGCGAGAAAAAGATTGCTCCTCATTTTTCTTGATTTTTCAGAATATTGTTAACCCCCCCCCCTACCAATTAATAAATCTTGGATGCGCCCCTGTGTGAGCAATACCATGGACCGTCGCTCAATTTTCATGGTTGTAAATTTTGTAAATAATTATAATTATATTCATGATAATGATCACAAAGTAGGTATAAAAGGTATGACGGCATTAAAATGTATGACAACAAGAAGAAAATGGTCCATTATAAGAACAAAATAACTTCTGTGTTGAAAACTAAGGAGTTTTTCGAAAATGTACATTAGACTGGGAATCATATCGCCCTAAAGAAAACAAATGTATTCAAAATTGTGTTTATTTAGTGCCTACATTACGCTATCTTTGCATGATATATTCAGTAAAACTCATCATCTAAGATGCTCATTTGGTCTATAATGTCTATAATTAAGAAGTCGTATTTTTTTGTATAATCCTATCGAGCTAAATATTTTTCATTATTCACATTTTCCTTTTTTTATGCATCACAGATTTTGTTTTCGTTTTCTTTTTCATTTCTTTCATGGTAATTGTATTTATCCTCATCGAATCATTGGCATGAAATACTGAACTACGACATGAGCATGAAACGCTTGATTAGTGATAATCTTACATGTTAAATACTGATTAGGAAAGTGTGAAAACAGGTTGTACTATACATGTAGATTATTGCGGGGGAATTGAATTTAGATTTTAATATGAAGTGTTTTGTTCTGTTCTTGTTAATTCGAAATTATTGTCAAGATTTTTTAGAAGCATGAAGGTTATTTTATCACTTTTTTAATCATGATATATAATTCGTTTAAATCCTATTGTTAATAGAATAAGAAAAATCTTTAACACTCAATTCAGAATAGGAAATTAAAAATTCAACGTGAAGTAAATTAATGTTTCAACAGTCATTGTATTTTTCGTTTCGATAAAAAGGAGCATTAAATATACATTTTTTGTGAAAGTCATAAGAATTTTAAGCACTTTTTTTTTAATTTCAAGGGTATATAGATGCATAGCAGATTCTGTAAGATTTCACGATGTCTGCAAAAGATTACAAATGATGAGCTAATTCTACAATCAGCAGCTGTTAGTCAACATTTTAAAGCGTTGTGTGAATTCCACTCTGTTATTTGAAATAATTCATTTATTCTTCGTTTTTTTCAAATTATTCAAAGTGTAGTATGTAGAAGCTAACTGGTGATGCTGAAGATTTGGGGGTTTCCAGTATTTTTGCGAGAAATAAAATGAAAGCGATATTGGGAGATACAAACAGGATAGACACATGCCCTTTATATTATAGAATATAGGCTTGTCGCATGCATGCAAAATTCACGGGCCATATTTTAGATCACTCGCTGGTTGAGTTGTGGCAAAAATAAGTCATCTTTGCAGAAAATATTGTTTAATCTTCTCAGAAAAGAAAGAGTTTTAAATTGACTCTACTACTTGTTTTAAGACTAAAAATGTATGTTTATAATATCTACAATATTGATTATGAAATAATAAATATATAGATGAAAATATCATGAACGCATTGCTCCATTGTCACTAATGTGTAGTCAAGCTCTGTTTTGGATCAGGTTTGCCAGTTCGGCAATGAACACATTTCCCATGATTTTAGAGAACCCGTTCTAAGACACCCTCTCCCTCTTTAACACCAATTAAATCAGATACATGTAAATAACGATGTTTCGTCCCACCCTCCCGCTGTGGATCGAGCTTTTACTACAGCTGTACGTATTATGTAATGGCGTATCCAAAATGCTGGCGTAGCCTCCACCCCCACCCTTCCACACACACTCACACACACAATTTAAGACCCAATCAATCAATCAATCAATCAGCATGCTGGGAGAACGCGGGCTAAACACACACACCCCTCCCCAGTCCCCACCCTTCCTTCATGGAGAGGATTCTGCCCCTTTCCATCTCTATCAACTTTTTTTCATGAGCAGCTCCCCCTGGCATGGAACCTAACAAATCTATTAAAACACGAGTGAAATCTCGAGGCCATTGATTCAAAGTACCGCCCTCTGCTGTCTTAAATTGTGTAATGTGGATGTTTTGTGGATATTGTGTCGAATGTTGAAAATAACACAAGGAATGTTGCGCAATGGCAAGGTAGACTTTAACCTGAACTATTCAAAGTTTCATGCTTTGTAAACAGAAGATAGTCCAATGTTTGAATTATTTTCAAGGTATCTCTTTCACCAGAGTGTGAGAACTCGCCATTATCATTTTGCCTCGAATAATATGAACTGTAAAAAATAAGAATTTAAAACTGAGTCGCATTCTCAACGGTATATTTTGTCAGTTCTAGAGGGGGAGGTGGTATGGGGTAATCTTCCGGGGGTAATTGTCCTCGAGGGCGGGGTGGTTGTCCTTGGGGGATAATTTTCAGGGGGGTTATTGTCATGGGGGGGGGGGGTGTAGTTTTCCAGGGGGTGATTGTCCAGGTTGTAATTGTCCTGCTATACGTAAACATGTATCTTTCATCTAGAAAAGAATGAGCGTGTAATCTCTATGATTAAACAGTTCAAAAATTGATTCTGAATAGGAGGTTTTGAGAATAAAAATAAAAGAGTTATTTCACCAACTGATTTTCTATTGAACTTTATTCAATCATTACAAATATTGTTTATTTGAATAGCGAATGGCTTTGGACCTCTGTGAAGCACAGTTTGTAGATTGTGGGCCCATGATGGTTTCCTTTTGCTTTTTGTGGTTTATAGGTGCTGGAATTGGAATTGCAGTTGCCAGCTAGTATGGCCATCGACATAGGTCCCCGGCCCCCCAAACTCCGAGAACGGACGGACCCCATGCGTGTTACCTAAAATATGTCCGGTAAAGGGGTACTTTTCGTGCGACAAAGTCCGGCCCGAGAATTGTAAAAAAAAAAGGGTGTATTAACTTTTCACCCGGAGATTTCTTTAAAACGGGGGTGTTTTTTTCTTTTTTTCCTCTCATCTCTTTCGACTCCTGAGAAATTATTCCGAATTTAGGGGGGACATTGAGCCTTTTTCATGATTTAGGGGGGGGGGGGTCTCTAAGGCAGGAAAAGCCCGTGAAAACCCCGCGAAAGGGGGGTTCGGAAATGTTGGCAGTCCTCAGATAGGGGGTGCTTTCAAAAAGAGGGAACAAGCATATGCGTACCCTAAATAACACTGAGTGGGGGGCCGCTCTGTGCCATGGTGTCGCATATAATATCATACTGCCGTCACTGTTTATTGCATAAGACATCTATTTTGTTTTCTTGTTTTCCTTTAAGCGTTGGTCACATCCCACCGTGCGTGTTTTTAGTCCGTACGGTTTTTGGGGAGGCCACGGCCGCCACGTTTTTCTGAAAACGTAGGGAGGGAGTGGCAAAGGCAGGGAGGGAGTACCGGCAACGCGCGTCACACGCACTGTGTAAGTACGTGGACCGCACGCCACGCCTGGCCGTGAACGGTTGCGTGCATCGTACGTTGCGCACGTGGTAAGTGCGTTGTACGTGCTTACAACGTACTTACAACGTACGGTCTCCGTGCGGTTGCCACGTTATCGTACGGAGGCCGTATTTACAAGTGCTGCTCACGTACGGTGTCCTTACTCACGCGCATGTTGTAAGTGCGTGCACGTGCGATGAACTCGTGTTTATATAGGACGACATTCCGATGTTCTCCAGAAGTCCAAGCTGTTGCTGCCTCAAGATGCCGCCCATTCCACCGAAGAGACTATCTACTGCATAAATCAGTGCGAACAACGTGCGTTGTAAGTGCTTACTCGGTACGGTCCACGTGAGTTCTGCGTGCTCATTGGATAGCTAAACTGGGGAAGTGGCGAGTAAGCACGGACCACGCACTTATCACGTGCGCCTTTAAAAGACGCACGGAGTCAGTGCGTTGTGCGCTCGTTGGCAGTACCGGGCACGCACGTCACACGCACTGGGGTGAATCGGGAGCCCGAACGCAGCCCGAACGCAGCGAAAGTTCCTCATGCACTAAAAGTGCTACGGTGTGTCTGCGTGTTCCCAAATCCGTACGGAGGCGGTACTCATCACGTACGGATACCCAAATTTTGCCCACGTTTTTGCACGTAGACAGCACGCACTTGCAAGTACGGCGGGATGTGACCACCGCATTATAGATGTCTTTCATCGTTTCCTTCTCTAGATCTACATGTTAAGTACAATTCCCTTTACACTGCGCTGCACTGCCTGCTACTCGTACTCCGATTCGGTCTAGTCTAGACTCTTTGCGAGCGGTTTCAATGGAATTAATCGAGAAACTCCCCTCGCTGCCGTGTAAATAAAAAATACGCGGCCAGGCATAGGTCAAAATGGCCAGTCTGTGATTCCCGAAATGATATACCATGGAAAATGCTCTCGCATCAGTCAGAACATTAGAATGGCAGATTATTTACACCCGACATAATGTTGGAAATACATTGGACTGTGTAAACTGTGGAATCGGGGATATTCTTTTCATTTCAGTTCATTTATAAAGAGATCGCAAGCAAAAAAATGTAATCGATTAAAAAATTAAGTAATTCATCGAAGGATTTTTATTTTCATCGGTCAATATTGTGCTTATCTCGATCTTTGGACTTTTCCCTTCAAAATCACCTCTTTTAACGAGCCATAGCCCCCTCCCTCCGACCCAGAAACCTATAAAACAAAAATTAAACAAATTGTCAAGGAAAATAAGGAAAGAAGAATAACAAACAAGAAGAAAATGATAAAGAAAAATAGACCATAAAATTCCCAAAATAGGATAATAAAAATATTACAAGAAGAGCAGAAGCATGAGACTATTAAATGAAAACATATTCCATTGGAAATGTGTTCAGTATGCTATGAATCTAATTATTCAATGTATCCATCGTCCGACCAGCCAGGCGATTGTACTTCTTTTTAGTTGGAAAGGATGTTTGTGAGAAAAAGGGTGTTGCCGGGTGCGTTTGTGAATGGAAGGGGGAAGGGGCGGTGGT